ATATATATATATAATTTTTTTTAATGTGTGTGTGTATATATATATGTATATACACGCATATACATACATGCATATATATATACACATATATGCATCAAGTGGGTTTGTAGGATAAGCACTAGACTGTGAGCCACATGGTTGACAGTTTAAGCCTGCCAGTTGTTCCATGGGAGTAAGGTGAGGTTTTCTGCTTCTGCAAAGATTTACATCTTTAGAAGCCCTATACAGGGTTGTTGTGAGTCAGAATGCACTGTCCAAGACAATGAGATTTTATTTCACTAGAATTTTTTTTTCATTTTAGTGCTGGTCCAAGTACTGACAGTATCTAAAATAGTTATTATCCCTTCACATACTGTAATGTGGTACTGGATAGAAACAGCACTGGATAGAAAAATTGGGGAATGGGTAATGATTATGGTTAAATAGCATGATGAACATATTTAATGTCAGTATACTTGTGAATATTAATAAAGTGGCAAATGTTTTGTACACATATGTTTGCCATAATTTTTTAAATGAAGAATGTCCACAAAATAATGAAAAAATAGCATTGAACCAGGACTCAGGAGACCTGGATGCTTTTGTCTAGGTTTTGTCTGATGGGAGACTCTGAGCAGATCTCTTCTAATTCTGCCTCTTTATAGATGGGGAAACTGTCTCTACTGCTTTAGATAGAAAGTAATGGATTTTGCATGTGTTAAGGAACGCTGATGATGCAGTAGTTAAGCGCTCAGTTGCTATGCAAAAGGCCAACTCTTCCTTGGAAGAAAGATATGGCACTCTGTATCCATAAAGATCACAGCCTTCAGAGACCCTATGAGGCAACCTACTGTGTTCTATAGAGTCAGTATGCATCAGAAGAATTGGCTCAGTGGCAATGGGTTTTATATGTCTTAAGGATTTTGTGTTTTAGGGCTCAGAAGACAGGGTTTCCTCATCCCCAGTCACTTAAATATTGCTGACAGTAGTGTCTAAAAATTCAAACCATCTTCTACACTTGATATGAAATAATTAAAAAGAAAAACAATCTTTGGAAACCATTTGAAATTTTTTCTTCTTTTTTAAAAAATTTAACCCTTAGGTCCTGAAGTAGGAGCATCGCCACAAAGTGGAAGAAAAAGTGTGGCGGCTGAAGGAGGAGCCTTACTACCACAGACACCCCCGTCCCCTCGAAATCTGATTCCACATGGACATAGGAAGTGCCATAGCTTGGGATATAAGTCAGTACTTTTCAGTTCTATCTTTGAAAGTGTTAACATGATTTATAATTTAGCTTACATTCTATTTACTATATTATTTATGTCCTCGCACAGTTTTCTTATATAAATACAATCTTAATTTGTTTCAGTAAAATATCTTGGTTGACTAGAAGTATTTGCTCCTTTACCTAAATATTGAAGTGAGTTTTTCTCAACAGTATCTTCACGTTTGGTAAGATAAATGAGCGTTACAGAGAGTTACCATAAATAAATATGGAAAGTAGTATGCCATTCTCCTTTTAAATTACAACCTTGTTTTAACCAAAACAAGTTACCATAAATTAAGGTCTATAAAAAGTTTACTGTTCATTCCTAAATGTAAAGAAAGGGAAATGAATTTTTTTATTTTAAAAAAATTTTCTACTTAAATAAGCATGTTTGGGGGGGGGGAGTTCCCTTTTCTTAGTAAAATCTGTGTCTTGATTAGTATGAGAATTCAAAAATAAGTTCAGTACAGCAGGCAAATCTTTTATATCCTGAATTTAGTAGTAATATTTTAGTAATAAAATATATGAAAGATTTTTCTCTTTGTTTCAGTTTCATTCATAAAATGAACACAGCAGAGTTTAAGAGTGCAACGTTCCCAAATGCAGGGCCAAGACATCTATTAGATGATAGTGTCCTGGAGCCCCATGCACCATCTCGAGGCCAAGCTGAAAGTTCCACTCTTTCCAGTGGAATATCAATAGGTGAGAAATATTTGTGTGAGAGAGGTGGGATTTTTTTTTTTACAGAACTCAAGTGGGAATAAGCAATGAACTACTACAAATAGAGACAATTTTATAAAAGCAAAACAGCAGTAGATGTAAGATCATCTTATTCATAGCTACTGACAAGGATAATTCACGATGATTTAAAAGTTATTGATGTTCTCTGAGTCCAGAGGGGAAGGTATTTGAGAAATGGTGGGTAAAGAGTATAGACTGGTTAAAGTGGTTCGCTGCATAATTTGAATGTAGGGATAATGAAAAGGAATCTAGTATAACCACATGCTTTCTTGTTTTGTTCTCTTTTTTTAATTAAGCCACTAGATAGAAAGTGACACTATTTACCAAGTAAATAGAAAAGACACTGGAAGAGTATTAGCTTGGGGGCAGATAAGGCATGACAAATCTAGATAATCAAGTGTTCCGTTTTGAACATGTCTAGTTCGTATATTGTTGTTAAGTGCCGGTGAGTAGGTTCCGACTCATAGCAACCCTGTATAGGGTTTCCAAGGTTTTTCAAATATCTTTGCAGGAGCAGAAAGCCTCATCTTTCTCCCACTGAATGGTTAGTGGGCTCAAACCACCGATTGTATGGTTCTCAGTCCAGTGCTTATCCTATGGGACCACCACATGCCACTAAATTCTTATGGAGATGTCAAAATTAGGAAGCTGGATGTATGACTTCAAAAGGTTTATGAAAAAAATGGAACTAAAACATACTGGAATTTTTCCACAAAATTTTTGAAGCCCCCTCATATGAATATATAGCCCGATGGGGTAAGATATAAACATAGAAGTTCATATCTGAGGTATCAGAGTCCTTGTGTGGCACTGTAGAATAAGCACTAGACCACAAGGTTGATTTGAACCACAAGGTCGGCGGTTCAAACCCACCCACTGCTCGTCTCGGAAACCCTATACAGTGTGGCTATGAGTCATAACTGGCTCCATAGCACAGCAACAACAACATTTGAGGGACCACCATTAGTTTATCGTACTGTGGTGACTTGTGTGTTGCTGTGATGCTGGAAGCTACGTCATCAGTATTTTAAATACCAGAAGGGTCATCTATGGTGTACGAGTATCAGTGGAGCGTCTAAATTGAGACAGACTAGGAAGAAGCATAGGCAGATGACTTGTGAATGGTTAGCCCCTGAAAACCTCCTGAAGCAGCAGAGCATTGTCTGATATAGTACCAAAAGATGAGCCCTTCAGGTTGGAAGGCACTCAGAATATGACTGGGGAAGAACTCCCTCCTCTAAGTAGCATTGACCTTAATGACGGAGTAACACTTTCATGACCTTTATTTACTGATGGGGCACAAACTCAAAATGAGAAGAAACAATCAGAATGTGGAATGTATGAGTTTAGGAAAATTGAAGTCATCAAAAGGAAATGGAATGCATAATGATTGATACTCTAAGCATTAGTGAGGTAACATGGACTATTTTGGGCTATTTGGAATCCAACAACCATGGCTTACTGTGCCGGGAACGACAAATTCTAGAGGAATGACATTACATTCATAGTCAAAAGAGCATTTCAAGATCTAGCTTGGAGTACAGTGCTGTCTGAAATAGGACACTACCCATATGCCTACAAGGAATACTATGATAACATCTGTACATCTACAGGAAGACTCGTAGCTCTGTAGGATAAGCACTTGACTGCAAGGTCAGCAGTTCAAACTTACCAGCATCTCGGAAACCATATACAGGTTAATTATGAGTCTCAAAAACAATACAAGGAATACCAGTTAAAATACCACTATTAGTGGTGATGATGAAATTGAAGAATTCTACTAACTTCTTCAGTCTGAAATTGATCAAACACGGTCAAGATGCTTTGATAATTACTGATGATTAGAATGCTCCAGTTCAAAACAAAAAGGAAGAATCAGTGGTTGAATAGTTGAAAAATTTTGACTTGGTGATAGATATACCTTTTTTCAACAGTATAAAAGACAAATTTACACAGGAACAGAATTGAGTACATCTATGAAAAGAGACAATCATCAGCCAAAACAAGACCAGGGGTTGACTATGAAACAGACCATCAATTGCTCCTATGCAAGTTCAGGCTAAAGTTTAAGAAGATTTGTACAAGTCTATGGGAGCCAAAGTGTGACCTGAGTATTTGCTGTTGCTGGTGCTGGAGTCTACTCACAGTGACCCTGCATAGGGTTTCCAAGAAGTTGCTGGTGAGGTTGAACCACCTACCTCACAGTTCAAACCAAAACTTTCTCAAGAACAAATCTGATGTATTAGACACTGTTGTTGTTAAGTGCCGGTGAGTCAGTTCTGACTCATAGCGACCCTGTATAGAGTTTCTGAGAAGCAGCTGGGGAGTTTGAACTACCGAGCTTTCGGTCCAGTGCTTTATCCCCCAACACTACACCAGGATTCCATTAGACACTAATGACCAAAAATCAGAAGAGTTGTGCGATAACATCAAGAACATCATGCATGAAGAAAGCAAAATGTTATTAAAAAGAAAAGACACAATTAGATATCAGAAGGAACTCTGAAACTAGATCTTGTATGTAGAGAAATAAAAGCAACTGGACGAAATGACGTCAAAAAGCTGAAGTAAATTTCAAAGGACAGCTTGAAAAGATGAAGTAAAGGACTATAATGAAATGTGCAGACATCTGGAGTTGGAAAACCAAAATGGAAGTCATAAGTACACACTCAACATTTCTCGAGCTGAAAGAACAAGAAAAAATTCAAGGCTCAGGTTGCAATATTCAAAGATTCTATGGTCAAAATATTGAATGATGCAAGAAGCATCAAAAGAGGGTATAATATACAGAGTCTCTGTACCAAAATGAACTGGTTGATATTCAGCCATTTCATGAGGTAACATATGATCATGAACCAATTGTTTTGAAGGAAGAAGTCCAAGCTGCACTGTAAGCATTAGTGAAAACAAGACTCTAAGAAGTGATGGAATATAACTCAAATTCTTTAAATGAATTGATGCAGCACTGGAGGTTCTCACTCAAATACACAAAGAAATTTGGAAGCCAGCTACCTAGCCTGCTGATGAGAGGAGATCCATATTTGTGCCCATTCCAAAGAAAGGGTGACCCAATAGAATGCAGAAGTCATTGAACAGCATCATTAACATCATATTCAAGTAAAATTTTGCTGTCAGAAATTTAAGTCAGATTAAGACGAGAACATGGAATGAGGGATCTGATTGCTGACATAAGATTGCTCTTGGCTAAAAGCAGAGAATAAAAAAAAAAAAAAAATGTTTGTGTTTTATTGACTCAGAAAAGGTATTTGACTTTGTGGATCATAAATGATAGATAACATTGGGAAGAATGGAAATTCCGAAACTCATTATTGTGCTCATGTGGAATCGGTACACAGACCAAGAGGCAGTCAGTAGAACCGAATAGGGGGTACTGGATGGTTTAAAATCAGGAAAGGTGGAAGTCAGGGTTGTATCCTTTGACCGTGTTTATTCAGTCTGTATGCTTAGCAAATAATCTGAGAGGCTGAATTATATATTAAGAAGAACATGGCATCAGGATTGGAGAAAGGTTCATTAACAACCTGCAATAGGCAGATATTACATAACCTTTCTTGATGGAAGTGAAGAGGACTTAAAGTACTTAATGCTGAAGAACAAAGACTAAAACCTTCAGAATGAATTACATCTCAATATAAAGAAAACAAACCAAGAAAAAATTGAAGTTGTCAAAGACTTCATTTTACTGAGATCCATAATCCATGCTCATGGATGCAACAGTCAAGAAATCAAAAGATGAGGCAAATCTGCTGCACAAGACCTCTTTAAATACAAAATGTCAGTTTGAGGACTAAGGTGCAACATGACTCAAGCCATGGTATTTCAATCTCATATGCATGTAAAACTTGGAAAATGAATATATTATTAGGAGGGACCAGTCCCTGGAGAAGGACTTGCTAAAGTAGAGTGTCTACAGAAAAGAGGAAGACCCCCAACAAGATGGATTTACACTGTGGCAGCAACAATGTGCTCAAACATATCCTCACAACTGTTAACACAGAATCAGACAATGTTTCGTTCTGTTATGAGTAGCATACTAGGAGTAGAACCTACTCAATGGCACCTAACAACAACATATAAATATACAAGGGGCCTTCAAAATTTTTTAGGAAAAAAATTCCTTTATCTTTTCATTCCATTTCTCCACAAGCTTTTTGAATCTCCCTCATATGTGTGTTGTTGTTGTTAAGTGCTTCAAGTCAGTTCTGACTCATAGTGACCCTGTATAGGGTTTCCAAGGAGCAGCTGGTGAGTTTGAACCATTTGCCTTGTGGTTCAAACCAACCTTGTGCCCCAGTGCTTATTCTTGAGTGTCACACCAGGACTCCAAGTGTGTGTATATGTGCTTATATATGTATATACATGTGTGTGTGTGTGTGTGTGTATATATATATCTACATATATACATACATCTAGGTAGAGAGTATGAGTATATTAGAGAAAAGCATTCAATGTTTAGAAGTCTGATTAAATTTTAAAAAAATAAACAAGGATGATCCTTCAAAGAATAATTAGAAGGGAGAATATACTGCAGAGTGTGATACTGCAAAAGACTGGCAGAAAGAAGTACATCAAGGAGGAGAGACGTGTTGACGTATCAGATGGGAACAAGAGAAGATGAGTATGGTGGATTTGGGAAGATAAAAATCATTGATGACAAAAGTTGTTTCATTAGACTTCTTGTTAAGTGCCTTCTAATCTGTTCGGACTCATAGTGACCCTTATAAGGTGTCTGAGGCTTTTTAAATCTTTGCAGCAGAAAGCCTCAGCATTTCTACAGTGGAGCGGCTGGCAGACTGCAGCCATAGGCCTTGTGGTTCACAGTCCAGTGCATATCCTATGGAGTTACCCTAATTGGAGTCGATTTGAAAATGAGAGGTGAGGAATAGAGAAGCTACTATGCAGGAGAGTAAGAAATTGGACCATAGAAAAGGATGTGAAACTAAGAAAAGGATTTATTTTCATTTTTTAAAATTTTTATTTATTCTGAGTTTTTTACATGACCATTATTTAGAAAATTTCCACACTGTGATAAATTTATTTTTAAAAAGGTAGAAAATGTTTTCCTCTGTGATTCAGTTTCAAATTGCACAATCCAGTTAATGTTGGTTAACATGATCATCTCAGTATTGGTGAACCATCAGTAGCTGCCAAAGAGGGTTCCTTTTCCTGATTTCCCTTCATCCTTCAGTCTGCAACCCTGAAAATGAGGCTGCTTTAGAGCTTTTCAACTCTGAAGTCAGATGTTGTTTATCCTGATGCCCCCCTTTTTATAAATGCAAGTGGCTATTGTGACAGCAAAAATTTTTTAAGTGTTTCCTGAAATACTACTATATTACTGCAATATGTATAAGGGTGAGTCAAACATCCCAGCTCCAGTTATTTTAAAATGCCCATCCACATCCACACAGATAACATTGAGCATGCACATGAAATGATTTTGTCAAATAGAATAATGACAGTGGATTGTGTGGCTAATCATTTGCAAATCAGCCATGGCTCTGCCTATGAAATAATCCAAAACAGACTTGATTTCAAAAAGTCTGTGCAAAGTAACTCACGGAACAGCATAAATACAAGCATTTGGACATCTGCAAACAAAATTTGGACCAGTACTCAAAGGAAGGTACGTTTCCTTAAAAAAAAATTTGTTTCTGGTGACAATACATGGATTTATCACTATGAGCCTGAAAGTAAACAGCAATGAATGGAAAGTTAACATCCTCAATCGCCAACCAAGAAAAAGTCCAAAAGTTAACCAAAATTCAGCTGGAAAATTGATGCTTACTGTTTTCTGGAATTCTCAAGGGCCACTATTGGAACACTATCAGGAAAAGGGTTCAGCAATCAGCAGTGCCCATTACAGTGAGATGCTCACCAAAGAGCTAAAGCCTAAACCTGATTAAACGCAGGAAACTGCTAGACTGCTATTCATGTGCATTGTGATCTTACATGACAATGCACGTTCACACACCTCTGCCCACACTGTTGACATTCTGCAGAAAATCATTTTGAGGTGTTAAAGCATCCACCCTATAGTCCTGATCTTGCTCAGTCGGACTTTCACCTATTTGATCCCCTGAAGGAGTCTTTCAAAGACAGAGATTCACCTCTGATGAAGAAGTGAAGACAACAGTGCATTTGTGAATCACAGCTCAGCCTAAAATATTTTTTAATAGGTAAATAAAAAGCTTGTTGACAGATGGACAAAGAGTGTTGGAAAATAAGGAAATAATGTCAAAAAGTGACGTGATTTGTCTTTTCTAAGAGTTGGTTAAATTCTGCAGCCAGAGTGCTGATACTTTGACTCACCCTCGTAGACACCAACCTCAACCTGAAAAACAACAGAAAATAAATTTCCAAATGAGAAAGGAAGTGCTTTTATTTTTCGTCAGTTAAAAATTGGTTATACTTATGGAATATCAAAAGGAGCTCTGGTAACGTAGTGGTTACGAATCGGGCTGCAAACTGCAAGGTCAGCAGTTCGAAACTACCAGCTCTTCCGCGGGAGAAAGATGAGGCATTCTGCTCCCGTAAAGATTTACAAACTTGGAAACACTGTACAGGGTCGCTATGAGTCGGTTCCAACTCCAGGGCACATAACCACCACCACCATGGAATACATCAGGTATGTTATTTAAAGCAAAAAAAAATAATAATTTTTAAAATTGCAGCTCTCAAGTAAGTACATATTATGTGGCTTTCTTCCTTGTCATAACTATTGTCTGATGGTAATTATTCCTTAATTGTGCTGCTAGTTATAGGAAGATCATTACCTAGTTATTTGGTTAACTTGGTGTTTCAGCTTAGAGACCTTTCTCCTTTTGAGCAGGAAGAGACCATTTTAGTTTTTTAGTTTTTGCCTCTGTATTTACTTTGTAGTTAGTCAAAGGCCTTTAAGTAGGTAAACAGTAAGATTATTGCATCCCTGCTTGTAAAAATCCAATTTTTGTTTTAAAGCTCTAAATTTTTGAAAAGAGAGTAAAAGTGTGTAACCATAAGATGGTGTTAATACATACATACACACAACCACTTTTTTTTTTTTGCTATAGCTGTAACTTTTACATAAGGTATTCACTACAATGCAAGTGATACTTTAAGAAAGGACTGTGGAAATGATAATCCTTAGGAAATGGCCTCAAACATTTTCTAATGTGCATAAGAGGCTTTAACAAGTTCAAAGAAAAACTCCGTATCTTTTCATTCCTCTTGCCCACAAATGTTTTGAAACCCTTGGTGTGTACTATACAACCTAGCAAAGGTGTGCACATCATTATGAGTTCAGTACTTCAGGAAATGCCTTTGTTTTCTAGATTTAACTCATATTGTTGTTGTAAAGAGCCATCAAGTTGGTTCCACCCCATAGCAACCCTGTGTAGGGTTTCCTAGGAGCAGCTGATGAGCTTGAACCCCACTGACTTGCAGTTCAAATGGCTGGCTTTTCAGTCTGGCACATTAACCCACAATGCCACACAAGGACTCCCTTAAATTTTCATTCCTACTATGTAATGCTGCAAGCAAAAATCATTTCCACACACAGACACACATCTCACAGAAAATTACTTCACTGACTGTTACCTCTCAAGTTCTTCCCAAAATGCACATAACTAGTAACCTTGTTTATTCATAGGAGAAAGGTTCATCCCTCACGTGTAATAAACACCTTGGGCATTAGAGTTGTAGTCTCTCATGCAGCGCCAGCTATAGAAGTCTGACATACAGTTCAGCTTCATACATGCATGACTTATTAGTCACCAAGAGCCCAAATTATATTTGAAATAATTTTTAAAGTCATTTTAAGCTGTTTTGGATGCTGCAAATATTAATTCCCTAAAATTTTTTCTCCAACTAATTTAAAACTGCTTGAAAACCAATTTAACTGATGTTCTAGCCAAAGAGAAACCGTTTATGTTATTGTAGTATTTGTTTTATTTGTTTGTTTCTAAAGGCAAAGAACTGAATTTCATTGCTGTATTCAGGCTTCTTATCCTTAGAGTGGAAATGGGTTTTAAAAGGAATAAAAATAAGAGAAGAAATATGCCATGAACCTTTTAAGAATTTCATAATTTCATTGGTCTTAAACTGTTACCTAATAAGGAAAACGTTTTGGTAGTAGAAAAAATTCTTTATTAATTAACTTAATGTACTTAACTGTAAGTAGACATGTCCAACTGTTTTGTTCTTTCCTTGTTATTTTAGGTAGTCTTGTCTACTATAATCCAGTTTATTGCAAAATGTATCTGGTGGTGGTGGTGGTGATTATGTGCCGTCAAGTCAATTCTGACTCATAGCGACCCTGGATACGGTTTCTGAGGCTATAAAATCTTTACAGCAGAAAGTCTGATCTGTCTCCCAGAGAGTGACTAGTGGATTCGAACTGCTGACCTGGTGGTTAACAGCCCAACTCACTACCAGGGCGCCTTAAAATGTATCTAGCAGCAATAACATTATTTACTAACAAATATTAATATGTTGAAGTTCCATCACAAAAAAATGTGATGGTTATTTTATGAGCACTTATTTTTAAAATATAAAACCAAGAAGGAAAAATTCTGTTTACATAGACTAACTTTTAATTTTCAGGTAGCAGTGATGGTTCTGAGTTAAGTGAAGAGACCTCGTGGCCAGCTTTTGAAAGGTAAGAGAAATTGCCCCTTAAAACTACTCCTTGAAACTTAAATCATTAAATCAGCAGTTGTAAGTAATGAAAATGACTGGTTGAGAGAGTCCCATCCGTGTGCATTAGCTTAGTGGCTTGACACAATGTATTTGGATTTCGTACATTTAAAATGATAATTTTGAAATAATAATAACCAGTCAGTCAGTGTACCTACTTATGTATTCAGGATTATAATTATTTCCTTGAGTGCTGGTTTATGTAAGTTATTTTTTGAGCATTTTCATGGGCAAAATGACTTAAAAATTATAAGTAAAGCAGTTTGAAGACTGAGTTTAAATTGTCATAAACACAAAATTTGCAGAGTAAATAGACTAAATAAATAGCAAGTACTGACATACTTTATAAGTCATGACCCCTTCTCATTTCCCTGTTGATGTAAGCTGTAAAAGCTGTCATCTGCCTGCAGCAAATAACATGTGCTATATTGAGCTTTAATTATAAGATATCCCCCTAAAGATGTAGCCGAACGCCACAAATAATTATAATTTACTAAATGTCCATTAGGAATATTATGTTATCTCTGTTTCCTTTCTGCCATTTTCAAACTTAGAAGCTACTTGACTTGAGACCAAAATAACTGCACTGTTAAATATGTAAACAATGAAACTAAGTTTCAAAGGAACAAGAATTTCATGTGGATTGCATCTTAAGAATTATACTAAAACTGATGAAATTTATACTATTTAGTTACCAAATCTCTATCAACCGCTTCTTAATAGAAAACAATTATCCTAATTATATATTTGCATTAGCTAATTTTATGCAATTTAAATAGAAAAGTAGGTTTTTGTTCTTGAGGAAACTTCATAAAAATTTCTCAACCATTAGGTGGTTAGGATTTTACTTGTACGCCCTATATTTCAAAGTACTTTTGACCTTTTCTACTTGTACGCCCTATATTTCAAAGTACTTTTGACCTTTTCTACCCTATAATTATCATTGTTCACAAGTTTTGTTCTCTTTGGGTTTTTGACAATTTGTTTTTAAATATATGTTTCTCTTCCAAACAATACTTTGGATCTCTTTATTTGGGTTTGCCTGAAATGGAAGAAACATCAGATATCGACTTTAGGATATATTGTAGTGTTTAGGTAAAAGGTCTTGTTTAACAAAATTACTTATCAGATTGCTGGCATTGTGAGTAGCCACAATGGTGTTGTGTTAAATAATCTGTTCTCATCGCCAGCGGGTTTTTTATGAAGATAGTATTTAATGGTGTTACCTACACATCTCAAAACAATATTTGTCTTTTATGACAAATGTTCTGCTTTACAGACATTTGGAGCTAAAATTCAACTGTACTTGTGCCAAGTTTAAATCAGTGGCTCTTGGGAAATTTTGAGAGCAGTTAAATTAATGCCACCCAGCAAGGTTCAGACTTGAAATAAAAAGTAAATAAAGAACTAGGATTTAAAATATTCTTTGTGCTTCATAGTGAACTTGAACATGTTACTCAGTGTTAAACCTGCCAAGTTTTGTTCTTACATCTTTGTAAATAAAGAAACAACAAGAATATTATGCCCTAAGTTGCTTAAACAATGTTTTTAACAGTACTGCTTGTGGCTTTTCCCAAGCAAATAAGTATCAGTGTTTAATAAGCATTGCATGCCTTTTAGGATAAATATTAATTCATACCATTTTTGTCATTTATATACTTTTTTAGTTGATATGGAAATAAAATAGTGCCTTTTTGTTTTTTACTCAGTTAATCTCTTTTATTAGTTGTCTTTGATTTAATATAAAGAATAAAGAGGAAAATGAAGTGTTTGGACACACTAGTTTAAAGTTTATAGGCTATATAGATTTTTAGGTGTCTTCATAGGGACATATGAATTATATAAATCAGACTTCGTTATATAAGTGGGAATCCAAAAAATAGAATAGAAAGTTTTGGTACTATTTGATTATAAACTGCTCTTGGATTTTGAAAGTGAATGTAAATGTATAGTACTTGCTAGATACCTAAATATTTCTAGAATAAAAGAGGAAGAAAAAAAAGTTTTTGAAACCTATGCTGCATGCATTAAGAAAGAAAGAGAAGCATTTATATAATATCCTTTTGTAAGATTCAGAAAACTATTACACGAAGAAATATTATACTGTTCTAGGTACTGATGATTGTGTAAATAAAAATACATTGTAATATATGCAATTTATAATGGAATCCAACAGGAACAGATTATACCATTCTCTCGGCTCGGTGACAAGAGTGGCACGAAATGGCTATCGAAGCCACATGAAGGCCAGCAGGTACAATTCTCCTGCATTCAGGGCTCACAGAACTCCCCTTTGGTGTTGGTGATTGGCTTACATGGGGTGTGGTCTGATACTGCTTCTGTCCTTTTCCAGGTTATTGATTTAAAAACCAAACAAAATGCCCAGGAAAACTTGCCCTCTCAGATCTGATAGATAAATTTGAGTGATTATTTCAGATCCACAGAGCTAATTGCTAAAGCTCACACCTTTATGTTCAATTTTTTAAATGCTTCCAAGTTGATAGTTTTTGGCTGTGCTGGTCTTTCAAATTCTGCTAGTTTTCGGATGAGCAATAAAAAATCTGCTTGTTATAGGATGAAATCAGTGCATTTTCTTTAATGTATCTACATTTATTGTGTGTTTTTTAATGTGTGTCTGATAAATGGTAGGTTGTGAATTTAGGCAAGCCTATTTTTACTCGATAATATTTATGCATTTAAACTCATGTTCGTTCAGTCAGTTCAACCAGGTTTCTTTCTGCACTGTTATTAGCTGAGGAAGAAGAAAAGGTTAGTAGATTGAATCAGGGTTTGATTAACTAGTTCATAACTCAACCAGATTGCAAACTGTTGAAGTGAGCTTTGTGTCACTTTAATGGTGTCCAACTTCTTTTTTTACGTCGCTGGGTATATAAATAGCTTTAGCTTGAAATTCCTAGTGATATCTAAGGCTTCAAGTCACTTTGAAGACACCTAAATACATAAAGGGTTAAACTGGCAAACTTCATTTTTCTTCGCTGTTATAATTCAGTAGTTCCTGTATCATCAGAACAATGGTAGAGTTTTTTCTACTGTTACTGTTTTTTTAGTACTTTTTCCAGCTATTTTAAATTAAACTTTTTTTTTTCTTTTGCTGAGCGTTTGTTATTTTTATTTTCAGTTTTGTCTACTTAAATGCTTTAACAATCAGAGTGAATAATTCTGAATTGTTTGTCCAAGTACATGATAAAGTATATTTTTAAGAACTTGATAATTCTTTAATAACTTCATAATTAACTTCTACAGCAGCTTATAAATTTCAGTTCAGTAAACCATTATAATGTCAGTAAACCATTATAATGTCAGTGTCTTCTGAGGTCTGTATAAATGAATAGTTTTTTCAATGAAAGTAAGTATTTACTTGATGATTGTAAAAGCTCTCTCACTATTTGTAGTTCTGCAGAATCAGAAGACTTGGCAGTGCATTTATATCCAGGAGCTGTGACTATTCAAGGTGTTCTCAGGAGAAAAACTTTGTTAAAAGAAGGCAAGAAGCCTACAGTAAGATTTCATTTTATTTTAATACACTTTTTAAAATGTATATATAAATGTACAAAACCAATTGTGACCAATTCAATTCTGACTCATAGCGACGCTTGTAAGACAGAGTAGTACTGGCCCATGGGTTTCTGAGCCTGTATATCTTTATGGAAGCACACTGCCACCTCATCTTTCTCCCATGGAGCAGCTGGTGTGCTCGAACCACACCTTTCAGTTAGCAGCCAAACCCTTAACCATTATATCACCAGAGCTCCGTATGTAAATGGGTAAAAACCCAAAACCTTTTGCTGTCAAGTAGATTCCGACTCATAGAGACTCTATAGAACTGTGTAACTACCCAATAAGGCTTCCAAGGCTGTAAATCTTGTTATGGAAGCAGACCACCACAGCTTTTCTTCCCTGAAACAGCACTACAAGGACTCCTTTATACATTATGTATTGCTCTGTTGTTAGGTGCCACTGAGTTGGTTCCAACTCATAGCAACAGAAGAGAACACTGCCTTGTCCTGCACCATCCTCACCATCGTTTTGTGTTTGAGCCTGTTGTTGTTGCCACCATGTCAGTTCATCATATATGGAGCTCTTCCTTTTGTTTACCGACCCTCCGGCTTTACCAAGCATGATGTCCTTATCCAGAGACTGGTCCCTCGGATGACATGCCCAAAGTACATGAGATGAAATCTCTCCATCCTCACTTCTGAGAAGTACTCTGGCTGTACTACTTCCTTAAGATATGTGTGTTCATTATTTTGGCAGTGTATGGTACATTTAACATTCTTCTTCACTCATCTAGCTTTTGCATACATATAAAACTATTGAAAGTGCAATGACCACGGTCAGGTGTACCTTAGTCTTCAAACTTCATTTTTAAAACTAAGACCATTGAAATGAAACTGAAAATAGTAGGTTTGAAATCATTTAAAATACGCATTTGTCTCACCATGCTCTATAATCTTGCAGTGTTTGTTATGCCTGCCTTACACATGCATTGCACATAAATCTCTACTAAATCATATGTTCATGCACTCCTGTACTGCTCTTCACATGTTACACAAAATGTGTTCTTCCACAATACTGGTGCAGAGTTTTATTTTCTATGCTTTCCTCAGATTATATTATAGTTTATCTAACTTGAAATAACAAAAACAACGTAAGTCAAAGTTTTGATAAGTACTGTCAAGTCGGTTCCAACTCACAGTAACCCTGTATAGAGTTTCCGAGGTGCAGCTGGTGGATTTGAGCTGCCAACCTTGCGGTTAACAGTGCTTATCTTATAGCATCACACCAGGACTCCACTTTGCTTTATATCTACACCTAAAGTTTTAGTTAAGAGCTATCGAGTTGATTCCGACTCACAGTGACCTGTATTGGTTTCCCATGGAGTGGCTGGCAGGTTTGAACTGCCAAACTTGAGGATTGCAGTTCAGTGCTTATTCTACAGCGCCACACCAGGGCTCTTTTGAAGATATAAGGACCTCTTAGCAAAAATACAATAATGGTTTGCATCTAAGTAATTTGATATTTCTGTTTAGATTACAAACCAAAGCCACACACACTCCAGCCAGCCTAGTAGCTAATGAAGTATGAATTGCATGTCAGTCAAAGCAGTACCCCAGTTCTGTGTGCCAGATGCTAGAAACAGAACAGTAAACAAGCCAAGACAAAGTGCCTACCTCATGGCAACAACTTTCCAATGAAGCTAAATAGAAAATAAGCTCAAAAATAAGGGGATGGTATAGGGAGGAATACAGAGTGAGGCGGGATGCCACTGAAGCGAGTGAGCGAGGCATTTAACTGAAGTATAAATAAGGAGGGTAAGTTCGTCATGCAAACATCTAAAGGGAGAAGTCCAAGCAGCCGAAACAGGGCATGTTCAAGAAAGAAGAAGGCTTTGTATAGTTGAGTCATTGGAACTGGAAGAGAAATTATATATCGGAGAGAAAGGCGAGGGTTGCTTGATGATGCATTAGATGTGATGCATGAGATAAAAAGCAGAAGTGACACTAAGTCTATGGTTATTGGGAGCTGGGCAGATTTTGGGAAATGTTTATTGAAATCGTGAAAGGTTTTTTATGTATTATAGAGGAGGGTCAGTATTGGCCAAGTTCACTTTGATGTGCTTATTAGACATAGCTTTTGAAAGAATAGAGCTCATAAGTTGAGCAGAGAGGTGATGACTAGGTAAGAGATGTGGGAGATAGTACCATATAGATGGTATTTGAAGCTGGGACTGGGTGAGTTCTGTGAACAAGGGAATAGCTAGGCAAGGAGGAGAGGGCTGAGGCTAGAACTCTGTAGCATTAAAAGAGTTTCAGGGAAAATAAGAGACGTTATCACATACAGCTAGCAATGAAGTATTTCAAGAAGGAAAGAGCGGTCCACTATGTCAGGCACTCAGGAGAACTTGAATATGAGGACAGAGGGCCAATGTGTTTATCAAAGGACAGGTTTTGGTTGACCTTGACAAAAGTGGCTTCAGCTTGAAAGCCTGACTACGACTACAGTAAGTTGAGTAGAAAATTGGAAAATAGTAGCAGAATCAGGAATTAGAAGTCGTGATATAAAAATTAGATGGTGTCTGAGGAGAGAACTGATGGGTGTAGGAAGGAGTTGTTTGAAACAGGAGTAACGACAGTCGAGGGAGAGAAATTGAGTAGAGAGAGGAGTTAATTGCAGAAGGAAATTCTCTGAGGACATTAGAAATAGCAGGAATGTAGGGTATGAAAGGACAGTTTGGATTTGCCCCTATATAGAAGTGCATGGTTAATTATTCTGTTGTAGCAGTAGGTAAGGCTGGGTATGTGGGTCTGCAGAACTGGTGCTGAGAGAATGGGGAAAGTACTCATCAGATGCCTACTTCAGAAGTATGCAATGAGATCTTTGTGGAGGGCAGGTTATTAGAATTTGAGGGTAGGAGAGAAGGTGTAAAGTAGTGAAATAACCATGGTGGAGAGGACTAGATAAAAGGAAAATGAATTTGAGATTAAGTGCCTTCGACTCAGTTCCGTTCCGTAGCAACCCTAACCCTGTATAGGTTTTCCAAGGAATCACTGGTGAGCTTGAGCGGCTGAACTTGCAGCTCAAACTGACCTGCCAGTCTAGCACATTAACCATACCAGACTCCAGTTGAGATTGTTGGTTATAATTTTATCAGTTGGCACAAATGGGTGATTTCTCTAGTAGTTTTCAGCCACTTGGTGTGGCAGTGCAAGATAAGCACTAGTCTGCTAACCCACAATCTTGGCAGTTTTTTAACATATGCATTAGATGGCAAACACAGTTATCTTATAAATTCCCTAATCTGGCATCGTTCTAATTCAAGCTAGTAAAAATATAAAAAGCTACTATCTTGGTGTAGAATAACTGGTGTGATGCTGTAGGATAAGCACTGGATTGCTGACCGCAAAGTCGGCAGCTCAAACCCACCAGACACTCCTTGGAAACCCTATACAGGGTTGCTATGAGTCAGAACCAATATGGCGGCACTTAACAGCATGAGGCGGAAGAGCATGAGGTTTGGATAAGAAATGGCAGGTAATACTAGAAAGTGATAAGATTCTTGATAAGATCAATAGTTATCTGAACATGATAATTAGGAATGTTAGCACTTCCAGTGAATATCTAAGGTTTGGCCAAGGAACCCTGGTGGTGCAGTGGCTGCTAACCAGAAGGTCCACAGTTTAAACTCACCCAGCTGCTCCACAGGAGGAAAATGGGGCTGTCTGCTTTCATCAAGATGACAGCCTTGAAACCCTATGGGGGGCAGTTCTATTCTAATGGGTAAGGTTGGTAAGGTTTGACCATTTTACTGCTATTAATTGACATTGGGTCGATTCCAACTCATAGCGACTATGTATAGGGTTTCCGAGGAGCAGCTGGTGGGTTTAACTGTTGACTTTGTGGTTCACAGTAAAGTGTCGATCCTGCAGTGCCACACACCAATCCAAACGTTTGACCATAGGAGGGCTAAAATGGAGTGGAAGTTAGTCATTGGCACTAAGAGGTAAAGTATTCATGTATTTGTTTTCTGCAGGTAGCATCTTGGACAAAATACTGGGCAGCTTTATGTGGAACACAACTTTTTTACTATGCTGCCAAATCTCTAAAGGCTACAGAAAGAAAACATGTGAGTATTCTGCCTATAGAGGGATATTGTTAGCATAGTTTCACAGCCTCTTCATGATTGTTAACAAAGTGAGTTTGGGTGGGGGGGAAGAGGATGGAGAAAGAGGATCACTATGAATCAGAACTGACTCAATAGCACATACCAACAAGACCTTTCCAAAGAAGGAAACCTAGTTTTTTCACTTCTTGAAGTTTCTTTTCTGAATGCTGTTTTTCTACTGCAGGTGGTAACACTCTGTACTCCAAATACCTAGATTCAGAACATGGATCAAAATTATTGCCTTGGAGTGTCAGTTTCTAATCTGTAAAATGTCAACATTTGGGGCCAGCATTTCTTTCCGCCTCAAATTCTGATTCAATCAGTGATTTTCCTGACAATGTGTGTGCTGTTTTGTTTTTCTATGTGCTGGTGATACATTCTTTAGGAGAAGGAATAATTTATGACCATGTTGCATTAATTAAACTCTTTTAGGAGGAATTTTATTTCTAAATTATATATTTTGGGGAAAATATTTAAGTGACTGAAGATGTATAGAGGGAAAGCAACTAAAGAAAAAGGAAGTCATTTTTCTACTTGTACTTTACCCAAATGACACTGCCTAATTTAGAGACGCTCTGCTTATTCTTTCAAGTTTATTTCTTTAATCAAACCTAAAAGGTACAAAAGAGGACATTTATGGTTTGAATAAATGTAGGACGCAGCACCAAAACTGTCCAGTCCTTTTCAGGTAGCATTCTATCCTTCTCATCAGCCACACACACTACCACCCTTCTTCACTGCTTCACTCTTTTCTTTCTCAAGTTTTGCTGGTTTTTTTCCCTTAAACAATATACTGTTTCATTTTTCAACTGTTTTTTAATGGAATTATATATGAGGGAGTTTCAAAAAGTTCATAGGATTACATCTTTCCATGAACTTTTTGAAGCCAACTCAATTTTTAGCCCACTATTTTGTCAAAGGAGCTCTGGTAGCATAGTGGTTATGAATCAGGCTGCGAACCTCAAGGTCAGCAGTTCAAAACAACCAGATGTTCTGCGGGAGAAAGATGAGGCTTTCTGCTCCCGTAAAGATATACAGCCTCAGAAACCCTGTTCAGGGTCGCTATGGATCGGAACCGACTCAACTGCACTTAACAATTTTGTCACTGTATATAAGAGACCACCAGAAAGTTCCAGGAAAAATGGAATTAAAAGATCATGGAATGTTTCTGCAAGCTTTTTGAAGACCCTGCATACCTAGATATTATTGAGGGAAAGGACTGAATGATCATGGAGCTATCCACTGTGTGAATACTTACCTTTTTGCATTCTATCCCAATTTGACTATGATGCCCATGATGAGTTTCACTACAACAATTTGCAGAGTAATTAATTGCATTAGCTTAACACTACTGCAGGAGTCCGGAACGCAGTGGTTAAGTGCTCAGCCGCTAACGGAAAGGTTGGTCGTTTGCACCCACCAGCAGCATCTCAGGAGAAAAGACTTGATGATCTGCTCATATAGATTGTAGCCTAGGAAACCCTATTTCTACTGTCATTTAAGGTCTCTGTGAGTCTTAAGAGACTCACAACAAACAAAACTGTACGGAGGGGGTTTCCAAGACTACATTTTTACAGGAGCAGACAGCTTCATCCTTCTCCCTTGGAGCTGCTGGTGGGTTTAAACCTCTGACCATGTTGTTAGCAACCTAACACTTACCCCACAACTCCACCAAGATTCCTTGTTTTCAAATATCAAGTAATTTTTCATTCACTTTTCGATTATAAAGTAGTGTTGTTGTTGGTAAGTGTTGTTGAGTCGATTCCCACTCACTGCAGGAGTGACCCTATATGGGACTTGAACTGCTGGCCTTGCAACTAGCATTCCAGTGCTTATCCTATAGCATCACACAAGTTATTTCACACAAATATATTAATTTTTTGTTTTTACTGGCTTTAATTAGAATGAGGCAAAATTAAAGAATTGATAAAATAACTGGCTTTGTCATCTAATGCATATGCTAAATAACTGCTTGACACTGCTATTATTAAGAATGCTTGACACTGCTATTATTAAGAATTATATATAATGATCATTTGGGTTTTTAATTATATGAGGTCTCTAACTGATAATGTATATTAAATGTTAGAAATTGAAGCATAAGGAAATCAAATTGTGAGTGCCAAGGAAATGGACTGTACTTTTCTAGTTAAAGCTGTAGTGATTAAAGAAAAGAGTTACTATAATAGAATATATAATAATATAGAATATAATAGAGATAGATGAGATAAGGCACAGAATAAAACCAATGAAGGAAAAACTTAAAAAATTTTGTTGTTGAAATAGAAAAATTGGAAGAAAAGATTTGCTGGAATATAAAAGCAGCAGATGAAGTATTAAAATATATAAACACAGCACCAATGAGGAAACAACCAAATCCAGATTGTAGTGTTTCTACAACTGGTCTGAATTCTTGAAGAGACTGGGTCAGGATTCAGGAGGAGGTTGTTAGTGATTACAGGAGATTAAAGAGTTTTGACAACTAAATACAATCCTGAGTCTTGACAACTAAATGCAATCTTTGTTGTTGTTAAGTGCCGTCGAGTCGGTTCCGACCCATAGCGACCCTGTATAGGGTTTCCGAGGGTGTAAATCTTTATGGGAGTAGAAAGCCTCATCTTTTTCCCGCGGAACAGCTGGTAGTTTTGAACCGCTGACCTTAAGGTTCGCAGCCCGATTCGTAACCACTACACTACCAGAGCTCCTTTATAACTTGGTTAAAACCCAAGGTTGGGACAATTGAGGACATTTTAATATGGTCTCTATCTGATCTGCTTATGAGATTTCATGGGTATGAAAATTACCTTGTGGTTATGTAGGAATATATTCTTGCTCCTAGGAGATATGAAGTATTTAGGGTTTAGAGTCCTTTCTGCAACTTAAATTTGAAATTAAATGTGGCAAAAATATAGCAATCTTTCACCTTCTCTATCTATAGTTTGAACCTTTTCAAAATAAAAAACCAGGAGGAACAGAGTCACTACTGAAACTATGTCTGCATATGTATGTATGTTGGTACATACTAAGCGTCTATGGATTCCATAAGGTGTTTTTTTTTTTTATTTGGTTTCATTTGGGTTTTTTAGAGGGGAAAAAAAATGGATCCTTTTGTTTGTTAAACCCCCCTAGTGGTTGGTTTTGAAGGAGTCTGGGTGATGCATTGGGTGTAGTGTTGGGCTGCTCACCACAAGGTTGTTGGTTCAATCCCACCACCCACTGCATGGGAGAAAGATAAGACTGCTCCTGTGAAGATATCCATCTTTGAACCACCCTAAGGGTTGGAATTGACTCCATGGCAGTACGTTTGGTTTGGATTGATCCCTAATCTGCCAGTTCTTTAGAAACCGTGGTAGCCACTGTAGAAATCCCTAAGGACAGTTCTACTTGGTCCTAGAGTCTCCATGAATCGTAATCAACTTGATGGAAGTGAATGGGAATGGTTTTAAAGTCCCCAAGCCCCTAGAGTGAACTAGCAAGGCTCCAGGGTGTGTCCCAAACCCTAGAGTGCTTCTTCCCAAGCTGCCCCCTTGTCTTCATTCACCACTACCACCACCCCACCCCCCAGGCTCCTTGGCTCCTGCAGGGGGCTGGGCACTCTCTGGCTCCAGGTGGTGGCTGCACATGATCCCCAGTCATTAGTCTATGACTCCTCATGTATACCACCACCATCCCCCAGCCACACAGCCAGTAAGGCTGACCTCCTATGTCTAGGGGATACAGCTTTGAGGCTTTGTCTGGCAGGCTCGCATCAGTTTTTAATATAATAGGTCTTACAGGGGTTTAACTGGATTGTACAGGGACTGCCTGTATATAATATGGTGTTCACAGAATATCCAAATAGCATGACGTCTTATTTCACAGTAACGTATTATAGATGTTACATGATGCATACCTGTATATTAATGTCAGGGTGAAGGGAGTCTGGAGGCTTTATACATATGTATTTGATTATTCTCTAAAGTATACTTTTCTTGCAGAGTAGACTTGGGAATGTGGAGTGGCTGGGGCGAGAGAGTCTGTTTATTCATGTTAAATGCATATTTACTATATAATTCTTAATGGAAGTTTTATTCAAGTCCTACTTAATTCTTCTTCAGGAGTGTCTAATGGTCATTGGTGCTATAGGAGCAATACACAAGGTCAGCCAGCACTCAAACCCTCAAGCTGCTCCTTGGAAACCTTATCCAGGGTCACTGTGAGTCCGAAACGACTCAGTGGTACTTAACAACATAAATAGGGAAATTTGGTTCTAAAGTTTCACCTAAAATTCCATTCAAATTTTTAAAGAAATGGCACACTTCGTAGATCAATCAGGCAGAAATGACATTTTTATCACATTGAGCCTTTTTCATCATTTCATATTTCTCTTGATTTAGGTCTTTACTAATGTCTTTTCATTAAGGTTGCACGTCTCTCTGTTTTGTCTTTAACATTACAAAGAATGGGCATTCCAGAACACTTCATTGTGTTCATGCAGAAGTGGTACATGGGCCAATAATCACTTGTTTGAACAGAACAAGCAGACACTACATGGTTCCAAATTGGAAAAGATGTGTGGCAGGGTGGCATCCTTTCATCTTACGTATTTCATTCTGTGTTGTTAAGTGCCGTCGAGTCAATTTCGACTCACAGTGACCCTAGATACAGAGTTTCCTGGGAGCGGTTGGTTAGTGGGTTTGAACTGTGGACCTTGAGGATAACAATCCCGTGCTTACCCTACAGCACCACGCCTGAACAAGTAATTTAAGAAGCCGGCCTGTGTGAAGAAGAATGTGTCATCAGGATTTACCTAAATGGAATCCAGTAGTAAAAGGCAGACTTGGGCCTGCAGGAAATCACTTGTTTCATCTCTCATTAGGAGAAACTTAAACTACCTAACACTTAATTTTCCTTTTCATTTTTTCCCCTTTCTCAGTTCAAATCAACATCAAATAAGAACGTGTCTGTGGTAGGATGGATGGTGATGATGGCTGATGACCCAGAACATCCAGATCTCTTCTTGCTCACAGACTCTGAGAAAGGTGAATTGACTTGAATAACTAGGGTTTAACTGGAGTATTCTACAAGAAGCATGTTTATCATTTGATCTTTTGGGGAAATCTACTCCATAATGTATTTTAGTGATAGCTTAACTCTCTTGATAAGTGTCACTGAATTTGATTCCAACTCATAGCAACCCTCTATTAGGTTTCTGTAGGGTTTCCAAGGAGCAACTGGTGGGTTTGAACTACTACAAAAAGCCCAGGTAATCTCGTGAAAGCTAACCAAAAGACAAGAGGGAAGCAAGGCAAGAAGGAAATTTACTTGATACTCTATAAACCACTATTATTTTTAAATCTCAGAGATATGCCATGCATATCGTTTTATATGATAAAATACTATTCTTAAGGTTTCATTTAGTTACTTTAAATTAAATTACTTGATTTTTGAAATAACATCCCAGGGAGTATAATTTTAGTACTTTACACACAGTATATAACAAAAGTTCATGGAAGAGATGCATTACCTTTCCCTTTGATTTTTCCTTAAACTTTATGAAGCCCCCTCCTGTAGACATTTATGAATTAACCCCCTCCTGTAGACATTTATGAATTAAATGACTATTATATTGTGCTTTTAAAAAAACACGTTGTTAAGTGCTGTCGAGTCGATTACTACCCGTAGCGACCCTGTACAGGGTTTCCGAGGCTATAAATCTTAACAGGAGCAGAAAACCTCATCTTTCTCCCGCGGAACAGTTGGTAGTTTCAAACTGCTGACCTTAAGGTTCGCAGAGTGATTTGTAACCACTACGCTACCAGAGCTCCTAAAGAAAACACATTAAATAGATTTAAATAAGCAAATACGTTGGTTACAGAGAAAAACACCAGAACTGTCTTACTTTGACATTGTTTAGTTGGACTTACAGATTGAAGACTCTTCTCTGTATTCTGAACTTAAAGCCCCAACCCTCCCAAACTCCAAAGGCATTATTGTTACTTTTTAAAAATAGATCATTTTCAATGGGTTGCCCTAAAGTCTGCTACATCTGGGCTTAGTAAGCAAAAAATACTGCCTAGATGATTAAGCATCTGGTAAGGGGGAAAAAATTCCTTTGAAAGTAAAACGGTTTTTACTATTAAAATCTCAAAGAAAATCTAATGTCTGAATGTCATCAGGCTCTTCAGCCATTGAATATGAAGTTAAAGGAAAGAGCAGAATTTTTTTTTAAAAGAATTGGGAAATTATTCAGGTCCTTCGTAGCATTTTCCACAATAGTCAAATCTAACAGTCCAGGCATCCATCAGCAGATGAATGGATGAATAAAATGTGGTATATCCATAGAATGCAAGATGACTTGGCCATAAAGAGAAATAAAGTTTTGTTATAAGCTATAACATGAGTAGACATTGAAAAGATTATGCTGAGTGAAATAAATCAGACACGAAAGGGCAAATATTCTTATCATCCCAGAAATATCTAGAATAGATAGATAATAGATAGATAAAGGCAAAAGTTTTATTAGTGGTTACCAGGGGCTCGGGGGAGGAGGTATGGAGAATTACTGCTAATGGGTATATAGGAACCAAGTTTTTTTGGGGTGAAGATAAACTTTGAAATGGATGAATGTAATTAATGTCACTGAATTATACACTTAAAATAGAAAAATATCTTACTATACATCTTTAGTACAATGGAAGAATTCTCAAAAACAAAGGAGGTTAAATAAAGAATTCACATCAATTATGGAAAAAAATATTAAAACACTTTTCTCAATTTGTTACCGTCTCACCTTAATACTTACATAAAGTAGTGCTATTTTGTGTCTATCTTGAACTAGAGGCAGTATAAACCAAATAATGTCAAACCTGTTGCTGTTGACTCTAGTCCAGCTCATGGCAACACTACAGAACAGTAGGGTTTCCAGAAGCAGATCACAGAGCACCTGGTGGGTTTAAACCACTGACCTTTCAGTTAGGAGTCAAACAACCCACTACACCCCCAGGACTCCTTAGAAGCAATATGTTGTTAAATGCCATCTAGTCAGTGCTGAGTCATAGCGACCTTTTATAGGATTTCTGAGGAGTAGCTGGTGGGTTTGAACTGCTAACCTTGAGGTTATCCTACAGTGCCACATACACACACAACACATATGAGTGGTCTAATTTTTTACAAAAGAAACAGATGCCTTCTTAGATTTTTCCTATAGATCCTCAGCATGTCTGGAATTTTTAATAATCTTGACAAATGTAACTGTGTAACTAAAGACTTAACGCATATTTGATATTGATGTTAGCTCATTCCTTCTGCTGCTACTATATAGTAAACCAAGCATTTTTCATGCAGAAACATAATATTAACACTTTTCCAGGGAGGGACTAGGTCCTTCCTAAAAACATGTCCAAAATAGGAAATACAATGTATCACCATTCTGGCTTTCAAGGAGCATTCTGCCTGCACTTCTATAACAGATTTGTTTGCTGTTCTTCTTGGTACTTTTAACATTCTTCTCCCACACCATTAATTCAAATGCATCAGTTTCTCTACAGTCTGCCTTATTGTCCAACTTTCACATGCATATGAGATGATTGAAAATACCATGACTTAGGTTAGACGCACCTTAGTTCTCAAACTGATATCTTTGCTTTTCAGCAAGGTAAAGAGGTCTTGTGTGGCAGATTTGCCTAATGTAATGCATTGTTTGGTTTCTTGGCTACTACTTCCCTGAGTGTTGATTGAAGTCATTGACAACTTCAGTCTTTTCTCCAGTTATTATGTTATTTATTGGTCCTGTTGTGAGATTTTTCTTTTCTTTACATTCAAGTGTAACCCCACATGGATGTAAAGTATTTTACATCCTCTTCGCTTTCAGTGACCAAAGTTATATAATCTGCATATCACAGGTTGTTAGTCTTCCTCCAATCCTGATGCCATGTTCTTCTTTATATAATCCAACTTTTTGAATTACCTGCTCAGCATACAGATTAAGTATGGTGAAAGGACAAAACCCTGATGCACACCTTTCCTGACTTTAAATCATTCAGTATCCCCTTATTCTGTTCGATAAACTGCCTCTTGATCTGTGGACAGGTTCCTTATGAGCAATCAAGTGTTCTGGAATACCCATTCTCTGAAATTTCTCCACTTCTTGTCATGATAAACCTCTGCATAGTCAACAAAGCACAAGTAAAATCTTTCTGGTATTCTCTGCTTTCAGTCAAGATACATCTGATGTCAGCAGTGATATCCCTAGTTCCACATTCTGAATACAGCTTGAATTTCTGGTTGTTCCCTGTCTATATTGTTGGCAGCTGTGTTTATATCATCTTCAGCAAAATATCAACTTGCATGTGATATTGATACTGTTCCATGATTTCCACATTCCTTTGGGTCACCTCTCTTTAGAATGGGCACAAACATGGATCTCTTCCAATCAGTTGACCAGGAAGCTATCTTCCACATTTCTTGGTATAGATGGGTGAGTGCCGCCAGTGCTGCATCAGTTTGTTGAAAGATTTCTATTTGTATTCCATCAATTCCTGGAGCCTTGCTTTCCTCCAGTGCACCTTGGACTTCTTCTTTCAGTACCATCGATTCTTGATCATACGCTAACCTCTTGAAATGGTTGAACATTGACCATTTCTTTTTGTTACAGTGACTCTGTAAACCTGCCATCATCTTTTGATGCTTTCTCCATCATTTAATACTTTGCCCATGGAATACATCTTTGTTGTTATGTGCCATGGAGTCGGTTCCAACTCATAGCGGCCCTGTACAGGGTTTCCGAGGCTGTAAATCTTTACGAGAGTAGAAAGCCTCATCTTTCTCCCGCGGAGCGGCTGGTAGTTTCGAACCGCTGACCTTAGGTTCGCAGCCCGATTCGTAACCACTACGCTACCAGAGCTCCTCCTGACATAGTAGGCCACATGATTTTCAGATTCAAAATTGACAATACCAGTCTATTTCAGCTCTTAATGCCTAGGATCTTGATTTTCATGCCTTCTATTTCATTTTTGACAACGTCCAATTTTCTTAGACTCATGCTTCATACATTCCATGTTCTAATTATTAATGGATGTTTGCAGCCATTTCTCCTCATTTTGACTTGAACCCCATCAGCAAATGTAGGTTCCAGAAGTTTTCCTTCATTCATGTCATTATGGTCAACTAACTGTATTTTGAGGAGACAGGTCTTCCCCAGTCGTATTTTGAATGCCTTTCAACCTGAAGGGCTCATTTTCTGGCATTATAACTGATGTTTTGCTGCTAATCATAGTGTTTTAATCTTCAACACTGTATCTGACAATGTTCTGCTGCTAGTAAAGGTTTTCAGTAGCTAAGCATTCAAAAGTAGGCTGCCTCTCTGTCTTCCTCGTCTGTCTTAGTTGGAAGCTCTGCTGAAACCTGTCCACGATGGGTGGCCCTGCTGGTATTTAAAATACCAGTGGCATAGCTTCCAGCGTCACAGCAACATGTATGCCACCACAGTACAACAAACTGACAGACAAGTGGTGGATTAGATATATTAAATTCAGGATTATTAAGAACTAACACTTCATACTCTGATACACATGGAAACCTAGAGGCTCCAGACAATCGCTGTATTTAGATACATTTAACATTAACAAATAAAATTCTCTAATGGGGTTTAATTTGAGTCTTTGATGTTTGGCAGCATGCTTGTATCATAGTCCTAATTTTTTTTCATCATTTCCCCCCATGGTTTTGCTAACTGTAGGAAATTCATACAAGTTTCAAGCTGGCAATCGGATGAATGCAATGCTGTGGTTTAAGCATTTGAGTGCAGCCTGCCAAAGTAACAAACAACAGGTGAGCCTCTCTCTTGGTTCTCAGAAGAATTTATAATGTATTTTTAGGAGATCCCAAAGAGAAGTAAATGGACTATTCTGAATGAACTGGACATCTGGTGGTGTTTTGCTTCTTATTGATAGCAGCCAACAAGTATGCATTTTAGTGAGGAGGACAATAAACAAGTAAACATGCAAATAATGAAAACTATAAAGTAAGGTAGAATAATGTGATACACCTTTTGATAAATAAGGGTGAACTGCAAAGATCTCATTTGTAGATGGCATTGACCTGAAGGACTAGAGGGTCTGGAGGCAGCCATGGGAAAATTGGGGAATGAGAGCGCTAGCTCGAGGGACTAGAGAGTGCAAAGGTGCTGCACCTGGCACGCCTTTGTGGTGTGCAGAATAGAGGGCCAGTGGTGTTAGAATGCAGTGAGCGGCCAGGGAACATTGTAGCAAAGAAATCTCTTTAGCTAAAACTATTTTTGAATCATCTTTACTTGATTCTGTGACAGTTTGATATGGGTTCCTACGCTTATAGTGAAACCAAAAATACATTTTGATTTTTTGGCTCTTTGTCTTCATTTTGCTGAAACAAAAACTGATTTTAAGACTTTCCAGCTTCAAAGGAGAAAAGGAATCTCTAATGTTTTTCCTAAACACTCACTTGTTACACAGTTAGAACTGAACCATCAGCAGAGCAGATGTTCATTAAATGTGACTATAGGTATGGAAGTGACTATAGGTATGGAAGTGCCTAGTGACCTTTTATAAAACAAATTTTTAGTTTTAATTACTGGAATAGGCATTCATTATTCACTCATGATTATTTTTTTATTTTCATTCATTCATATATGTATTTCAAATACTGAGTTGATAACCTTTTTAGAAACCTTCATAAAGGAGACGAGATGCCACAGCGCACAGACTCATGTCTAGCCCTTGTCACACTAGTGTCTAGGGCAAAATGAAAGAAACAGAACTCCTTTCCAGATTCACCTCTGTACAAGATAAATCTAGATAATGTATGCACACTGGCATAAGATGCTGTTTCTTTTACTCTGTTAGTGGACCTTCTTGCTGAACAGATCAACTACTTGACTATCAATCATCATCTTTTTATAGTTGCCAAAAATCAGAGTAATGGCAAATCTTAAAATACTCCTTTGTGCATTGAGAAGACTCAAATGCAGCACTGTAAACCACATTCAAGTAACTTTAACCAGACACGAGAATTTATGCTTTTTGTAAGTGTCTTAGGTTTTCAGATAAAGGAGAAGGAAAAGACCATTCATACCTTTGCCAGTACAACTTTGGGAAGCTGGTTAAGGATAAAATGTGTTTTCTTTAACAAAAGTAAAACCTTTGAAGAATTCAAATTATAATTTGATTCAGTCTGTAAATGGTAAACTATTAGATAGCCTCTTAATTTTCAAGGTTATGGAATATTAGATCTGAATTTATATATAGTTTTATAATTTTGTGTTTACATTCATCATGACCTCACAAAGAAATTATTAATATGTTGTAAATGATCTATGAAATTTACTTGTAGGAATTCATTGTAATACATATAATAAGAAAAATAAACAATAATGGTAAGCATGCTTCTCTAGATTCTTCCCCCTGCTTACTTATGCTTTTCCCATTCATTCAATAAACATCTACTGAATCTCTGGCATTAGGTAAGAAAGCTATTATTATCTCTGTCCCCAAGGAGTCTCCTGTCTAGATGTCAATTTACTATATAGAGTATTAACCCAGATCAGTGAGTTTTCTCTCTAAATTCATTAACTCATAATTTATTAGAGTCTTCTATCAAATTTAGGTCAGAGAACTTTTTATCATTGGGGCTCATCACCTCTAAATGACAAGGAAAGATCAGTTCTGCTTAAAATAACAGCAAACACTTGGTTTGTGATCCCCTCTATCTTTTAGGTTCCTACAAACTTGATGACTTTTGAATAAAGACCTCAGCAGAAAGGTGAGCTATTATTGCTCTGAAGGCAGAGTGAGGCCCTGAGAATGCCAGCTATAAACTGATCCTGTGCCAGGAAGGAGCCCAGAGGTTCTGGCTCAGCCTTTGGAGTTCCGAACCAAAAAGCACTCATTTCAGGGAAGTGAGAACAAATTGAAGTTGCAAAACGAACTGCCATGGACCATGCTTCTTCTCTCTGGACTTACCTGTGGAAACCACTGCCTTAAGTGAATGAAAGGAGAACCAACATAAAACACCAAATAGTGTGTGTGGAATCTTCTGGCGGTGCTGTGTTTGGAATAGATCGTAGCTAGTTTGCATTTCTTTTAACTTTGTACTAATTTTGGAGGGGGGAATTGCCTTTTTTTAGATACACTTTAAAAGGGGAAAAACAAAAACAAAAACACCTATTTCTTATGGGCTACTTCAGGAGCTGGGTTTTTAACAGAAGTGTAAAACGGATAGAACTTTGTAGTGCATCTCCCAGTTGCATATTCCTGAAAGGCGTGTCGCTTCCATCCATCTGGGGCCTCGTTCAGTGTTTGTTCTTGGCTTGTTTATATTTTGTTTTTATTTTGTCTGGGGCAGGGGTGGTTCTCTTTTGTTAAACACTAACCTTTGGAAATTTGGTGTGAGTAGCGAACCTTGTTTCCTGTAGGAAGCACAGAGGCTGAATGTTCACATGCCAGACATGTGTAAAGGGCGCTCTGGAAAGCATGGTTGTTCCCTAACTGTGTTTAAAGTTTAACGTGCTCTATGCTCTATGGACTCATTGTTGAACCACAGATCTGCTTACTTAGAGAGAACTATAATCACAACCTAAACTTTGCTGGGAAGATTTAACCAAAAAATTCTATTTTTCAAGTTAGTTGGATTAGTCCATCAAGTTAGTTGGATTAGTCCATCTCTCAATCACAGATTATTGCTATCCTCAAAGTGATAGATTGCCAGTGTTTATAATGTGCGGAATGCCAGAGACTGTTACTACTCATTTTCATTATTTTTGTTCAGTCAGATACAGAAAGAGAGTCCATATATGTATGTATGTGTATATATATATATAATATATATATATATATTATATATATATACACATACATATGTATTTTGTTATAAGACATACAGGATAATTTTGAAAAGGAAAACGATGGAAGCTTGAAATTCTGGGAATTTTAAGTATTGAAATTTTCCTTCTTATATAACTTGCGCTTTATAACAAAACATTTTTCTTTACACTTACTACAGGGCCCGACCATGAAACCCTATCTCTTGTCATCAGTTAAGCAAGCAGGTTCTTGAGAGCTCATCTATGCAATAGTGTATTTAATTTCCAAAACAAACAATAATTTAATTACCCAAAACAGCGCAAAGGTGAGATGCCTTCAGATTTTAACAAAAAGTGGCAGTTGAACACAGGCCTTGTATTAGATGTTACAACCTTACAGGCATCAGAAATTTTAGCGCAGAGTAAAAGAAACGTTCTTTGATACCTTCTAATGGGTCTCATATAAAAAGTTTCTCACATTTGTATTCTTAGAGAATTTTATACTTTTTTATCGAAAGTATTTTGTCCTTGAGTCTATGAAACTTAATAGAAAATATTACCTACACAATAATTAGCTCAAAACCTATTCAGAGAAAAGTAGAAGAGTTTTTTGTGACTGTTAAGTGTTTAATTTAAGAGTTCAAATATGTTAGCAATGCTATTTTCTGGTTTTAGGAAAAGTGAGAATGGGGACATGGGCTGGGAGAGGGCAAAAAGTTACCCATGTTGAATAATTTTCCAATTACAATGAGATTCCCAAACTTAACCCACGTTGGGAATATAGGACACCGCCCGTGTAACCAGCAGTATTACTGTGTACACCTTGCACACCTTAGTTTGTTTTACTTTTTTATTTCCTTCATTTTAGTATGTCTCTTCAGAAATAAGCATTTTTAACAGTGAATGTGTTTTGTTTTTAAAATACTGTGGATTTTAAGAAATCACTTTGTCATAAATAAGCTGAAGTGGGTCTGTCACAGTGGGTCTGTCACAGATGTTAACTGTATCTGTGGAGACATGCAACTGGAAGTTAAAAGCCTGACAGACATCACACTGTTTTGCCAAAGAGAGCAGTAAGCTGGAAGATGGGTTTGATAGAATTGTGGCCTTTTTTTTTATCTTCATTCACAAGATCAGTCACTGCCTTCTAAAATAATATTTAGAATTTCAAACATAAGAGTAAAATTCAAAACCGCTTAGCCTGCCCAGAGTTTCAGATTAGTCATTCAAAAGCACAAAAGTTCCATCAATAAGCTCATTTGTTTATCTCCTAGCCAAGAAAAACTTGCTAGAAATTCAATTGCAAAATTTACGGATTAAGCAGGTTTATTATATGGGTCATGACTGGCATGTAGAAGGCCCGGAAGAGGTAGTATATACTATTAGTCAAAGTAAAATTTGAAGTACATCTCATTTAGCAATTTACTTGAACCTGGAAGCTTATTTTTCATATGGAATTAGCATCCTTTAAAAAAAAAAAAATCACAACTATAAAAATAACATAATGACCCTACTGAGCACCACTTTTATGTCCACACCCCTAAGTGTTCAGACTCTGCTTATTTGGCAGAGTAGTATTGTTGCCCTAACCTCCACACTGTAAGAATTAAAAGAGACTTGATCAAATATAACTTCATTTCTTCACTATGTACATGTTATTGTGTAAACATTACAAAAAGGGATCCAAACAATCTTGTTGGTATTGGAGCTTTCTGTATTATCAAAAGTCAAAATCTTATAGAGCAGCCTCTTGGCTTCTTGGGGTAATTAGAATATTCACTTGATTAAACAACTTGAGCATAAGTCTCTTTTTTGAGCAGGGTGGGCAGATGTTTCAAGTCTGTAAGCTATATACCATTACTACTGGGGGGAAAAAAAAAAAGACTATAGTGCAGGCATCACATAGGAAATCAATAGTTACAGTAATTTTTTTTTTTTTTTTAAGTATATGCCCACCCGTAATTTCCATCCTCTTTTGAGCCACATGCCTTTACAACCATTTGTTAAACTTTATTTTCTCTTATAAGCACAAGGTTCCAGTGTTTTTATAAAAGAATTAATCTTCTGATAATAAGAAATCCTTTGCCCCAAAGGCCTTTGAAAGCATTGGATCCCTTTTTGAAAATGAAAATGAATTTGACTGTATCTGGTGGAACAAATGTACTGCTGTTGCATGAACAGACAACATATAAAGCAAGTGGTAAGGCTTGTCTGACTCCTTTAGTGATATCTGTAGTGACATCTGAAGGTTTCCTTTTATTTTCTGTCTCCTATTATTTCTGTTAAACAGTAAACCGTATAACCAGAGTGTTATTTTCTAAACTTTGAGTTACAAAAAAAAAAAAGTATTCTCTAAACTTTGAGTTACAAAAAAAAAAAGTATTCATTAAATCACCTTGATGGTAAATTCTTTTCCACATGAAATCAACCTTTTCAGAATAATTTAAGTACTTTTTGAGTTTGCTCCACTAAAAATGGCTTGTGTCTAAAGTGCTTGATTTCTTTTGAGGGTTCTGATGACAGATACCTAAGTGTACCAACTCTAAGCGTCTTGACAGCAGTTTCATTATATCAGTATCTCAAGTATAGTGTGGGGAAGTTGGTCAGTGCCTTATCAATGTGAAGACCAATCCTAGGGCATCAAGTATGACAATAATCATTTGTCCTCATACTCCTCCTCTTACTTAGTTCATGAATGTGTGTTCCCCTCTCTCCCAAGCTTAGTCTTTCTCACAGTAAGTCTAAGAAAGTTTTACACTAGGTGGTTGTAATAATCCTCCTTGGTTTTGAAATATTTTTAGACAAGCCCCTAGGAGAGGAGATTAAAAATGAACCCACTCCATCAACCTTAAAAGCATCTTGAAGAACATCCAACTCCAATATACAAGTTAAATGGGGCTTGGAAACTAGAGTTCTCTGTGAAAGCAAAGCATGAGACTCTTGCTTCTCTAATATTGCCGGATCCAGAGCTCCCATTAAAAAGTGAGTCAGAGAATATTTTCGTACTTTTTAAAGGGCTGGTATATTCCAGAGGTAGGTGAGTAGGCCTAGTCTGTAAACTCAGATGAAGGCTTCACTGGACCTGGAGGTATATTTGCAGAGTTTAAAGTTTTATTCTAGCTGTTTGGAGTACAAGGTAGTGATAGGATTAAAGATGCACAGTGTGACAGTGTGCTTTGGGAATGATTTTTTTTTGTTGGTTTTTTTTTTTTTTTTTACTAAGGCAAGCAGAAAACTTTATGAATATTAGCTGTGCTTTAGCTACTAGGTAATGACTATCCAGCCTCCCCTCACCCTGATGAGATTACTTACTATAACTATTCAGATATAGTCCAATAATTAATGACTAGTTACGGCAAAATAGCAAAGAAGTCATAGACCCTCAAGAGTTTCTACACCTTATTATTGACAAACCCCATTTGTTTTACCATATATTGGAGTTTATGGGGGGGGAGGGGTGGGGCCTGGTCCACAACATAAGCTAACGGAAGTCAAGCATCTATGGGGTAAACCCTCAATGATAATACTTTACAGGAAAACACAAGCCATTTTTATTCCTCTTGATCCCAGTTAACTTGAGGTACTCTAATGATGAAGCGCTCGACTGCACTATGACCTCCATGAGTGATGTGCAGCTTAGTTTCTCTTTCTGTTTCTAATACGCAAATATGAGTGTGTGGTCTTCAGTGTGTTTGCATAAGCTAACTTAAAATGAATTTACAGATTTCTGAAATATTTCTATTGAAATAAATGACTTAAAAATATCGTGTGGGGTTATTTTGCTACCATACAACTTTTTAGGTTCAAATGAACTCTTCATTTTCTTCCTCTTTTGAAAATAAGTTATACTTGGTACAAGATCACTGTTGGTACAGATGGGCTCTTGGGGAATAGACACCAACAAGGTATACTGCCTCCAACTGTATTCCCCCCCCCCCCCAAATG